TAGTAACAAAAATAATTATTGTAGATAAAAAAACTAATTTTTTTATATAAACAAAATAAAGTCAGACCCTAAAATACAAATTTGAACCTTGAGCATATATTCTTGTTCGAATCGATTGAGTAGTGTCAAATTCCACCTCGAGTTATATAATTTTGTTACATATTATTTTTTCACTATTAATTTAATTAGTTAAATTTTATGTTGGTTTATTAATTATTAATAAATTATTATTTTAATTTAAAAAGTTTAGTTTGTTTTTCTAACAAGATTTCTTATATGTTGGTGCATTGGTAGCGCAATATTATAAACCCCATGTGCCTCTAAAAAATCACATTTTAATAACCAGAAATGGTGATACAAAAATTGGAAAAAAGCATTATCAATTGTCTAAGATGAGAGGAAAATTAAGAAAGTAAGGGATGTGAGGTCAATTATGTAATAAAATATAATTTTTTTGTGTTATGTCATGCCTATGTAGTGTCACGTAGTTACTTACATGGAATTCTGCTAAGAAAATTAACATAATTTTGTTAGATATAATATTTTAATATTTTAATAGTACCAATACTATCTATTTAAACCTCAATTTTCCTAAGTTATGTGGATGTTGGATTTATGTTAAGAAAAATAGTTTTTTAATTAAAAGTTGGCCATTACTCCAACAATAGCTCAATCATATCAATTTAAACCTCAATTTCCTCCAAATTGATGAACCTAATCTAAGAGAATTATAAAAATTAGCAGTACCAAAATGCACTGATCCATATATAACGAGATATTTTAACAAAAAGAGCAAAGAATCAAAGCTATAAGTAGCCAAGTAATACTTACCAACTGGCAGAGGCAGAAGAATGAATTAAGGAAAAAAGTTTGCTGCTAGAGGATCAGGAGAGAATTAGTCATATGATATCATATGGCTAGGAAATCATGCAGGAATATATATAGAGACCAAAACACTACTATTATGTATTCTTTGCTTCTTTCGCCGGCAAAGGAAGGCATAGAAGCCTATATATCTTTATTGTAAGTGATACATGCCGTTGATTTTTAGTCGTATGACTGGACAAAGTGGAAGTGTAAAGAGCATAAGAAGATTATTAAGGGTTAAAATACTAATTTGTGGTACCTTTTAAAGTTCAAAGATGACTTTAGTAAAAATATAAAAATTGAGGGAACTAAATTGATATTCTCATTAATATTAATTGCAATCTGAGTCACATATAAAGGTTGCACCATATGTAACAACTGTAGCAAGTTCCATGAGTGTCATTCGGGCAAGGGACAAATAATGCAGCTTGGGTAAGAGGTAAATCCAGCACAATTAAACGATATTAATGGGTGGTAGTAAAAATTTGATTTTTTGTTTTTAAACCTATGATGAATGCTATAATTGAGGGAGAAAAAAAAAAGAGAGAGTTCTTAACATGAATATGCCTACATCTAGGTCATTAACGTGGCTTGTTTAGGGAATAAGCCTATAAGAATCCTGCTCTCCTATAGCAAAGATAATGACTAACATTTCACCAA